ACCTCCAACACCTGCTGCTGAACACTCAAGCATTGTGCCTCTTCCAAATGATGGCCGCCCTGCGGCACGACGCATGGCTACGCGACAACTTTGTTCCGGCATGTGCCGTTTACACGCCACGTCTCCCGCTCGGCTAAGCCTCTCGGCGGCCGGCTCATCGTAGCACCTTGGAATCGATAGTCCACCACCATATCCAGTTCAGTGTAAATTATATCTAAATAGACTCACTTCAACATTGTTCTAGCTGCAAGCAGCACAACACTCCTCGCGCCTACAATGGGTTGTCACATCGGCAATAAGCCGGTGTCGGCATGATCGTTTGGATTCAGGGAGCCACGCAACACCACTACGTTCTCTTCCTTCGCCGCAAAACGGGACCGGTTGATTATGCTACAAAATATTATTCTAGTACTCGGCCCAACTCGATGACTACTGTACCGGTATGTGTTCCAGAGCGTTTCTTTTACTGGTGTCGGAGCCTAGGACACTCGCATGCCGATACAATAAATAAATGAATATGACTCGCATTGGAGAGTAGCCAAGCATACACCCGCCTCGAAGGACCGGGCCCAACGGCGTGTCAACACACTACGGGCTGCCAGCAAAGTACACCAGAATCTCCGCTTTGATTTCGGGAGTATTGCCGAGCACAGCATCAATTCTGGTCGCGGGCGCCATTTTGATGCCACGCTGTAAATCTAAACTTCAACAATGCAACCACTTTGCACATGCACCGAATGTGACGTTCGATTCTTCGTCGGCGCACGTCCCTCCTATACTGGTACCACACATACCCTTGACGCTCTTGCTGCGACGCAGAGCTACTACACCTCCAGTGTGTGTGCGAACACCAGTATGTACTGTATGATGCACAAGGCAATGCGCGTGCCGATGGCGTGGCCACCCGAGCGCCAGCGCAGCGCGATCACCGCTTTGCAATTACACCGCCATATGTGTATGTCGGGAGGATCACCATCTGTTGGTCGTGGCACCAAATGGCGTTTACAGCCCGTGCATGACGACGACCAAGGACCTGTTGCAGTCCCGCGACAGATCTGCCGCAGCAAAAGGGCCTTCTTTCTTACCAAGCATCAGCGCACGAGCCCAAGACCAAGGATACCATATTGGACCCAAAACGAGTGCGTCTGCTGGTCCTTGGGTCGGTGGTGTTCATTTTGCAACATTTCGTCGTCTATCTTGCGCAGTGTCGGAGTTGACGCTGCAATAATGATTCGTATCTCGGACCATTCCAGCGTCTACAAATACGAATCCACTCGTAGCGTTACCACGAGGCAGCGTCTTCTCGGTACCAATGGACGCCGTCGGACACCACTGGACCGCCGAGCACTGGAATAATATAGGGGCAAAGTCGGGCTCGATCTCGCGTTCGATGGTGTCGCAAGGAGACCCGCACGCAAAGTGTACCATGTCATGAAAAGACACTGCAACGCGCTTCAAGTACACATCCGATCAAGGTGGTGATCAACACATCGTATTCGCAGCGACGCATGACCTTGTCCACGCGCACGCTGGTTCTACAAACTGCACAACAAGTGAGCAGGATATTGTATCGGTAGGTAGGCCGACCCCTTTGGTTCCCGCGTTTCTTTCGTCCGTCATACAACGAAGAATGCAGCTTCAAGTCCAAGCATTGGAACCCAACTCGACGCCATAGCCATAGCCACGGCAGTGCTAGGACAGGGCCCAGGACGGTCAAGCACAATCACAGTCGTGTAGGGTCAGTGCGCACATCTCCGCCTCGGTGTACGGCACAAGGTCTACGCCGAATTGTAAACAGCGATAGCTAGACTACTTCTGCGGGCAATCTGTCGTCGGCCATGGTCGGCGATAACTCCATGAACAATCTGTCCTTGTCCAGATATGGTCGAGTCAAACCACATCTGGTAGCTCAACTGGTGCGAGCGGGGTGACTGGAATCAAACCGTTCAGGCGCTGCATTGCAATGTGTACACGAATCATCATATATTCTGCTGTCCCGTGCTTCGGCTACGCCACCCTCGGCACATGGAACGGGAACGCACCATCCATAGACGGACAAGCCGCACCCGTGTGGCAGAGGTTCTTCTCGCATTCAACCGTCCTACCGGTAGTCACAGAACGCAAGGACAATGTACCGGTATTACAACTGTATCATGCTGCATCGTGATGTCGGCCACTGATGACGCCGTGGGCATCATGTCCTGCACATCCTCGTCGTGCCGACCAGATTGCAGCCAATCCACGCGCACCTCACGGTCGATTCCGCGCCCAGTGCCACCCAGGTGGCATCAGCTATGCGGCCTGCGATACACGGGTGCACGAGCTTCGTTTCTGAGACGACGACGACGGCGGATTCAGTACTTTTGAATTCGTTCGTCGCCGCACACGGCCTTCTCACGCCTTGCTCTGCGCCGAGCTGCCTGGACCGCATGAGCCAGATACCCATGCTCGCGAACAAAGATGAGCCGTCGCTCGAGTCGTATGACCTGCATATCATTTCGCAGCGCAAGTCGTCGATGACGGGGTCGATCGCCGCCGACTCGCTCTTCGCGCCAACCGTGAGCGACGGCACGGCCTTCCACCGGCAGCACCCGACGACGGACAACAACGCCGACGACGAAGCCGCCACCCGCCGGTCGTGGACGCACTACTACGTCGGCGCGCCTGGCACGCTCCTCGGTGCGGCCATTGGCCTTGGCCTCGGGCTCTTACTTGCCACGGAGTCGGTCAAGTCGCAGCTCAAGCAGTACGACTATGCCGAGAAGCTCATCGTGCGCTGGGGCGCGCTCTACTTTCGCGCCGTGAGCTGTCTCTTGTCGCCGATCGTGTTTGTGAGTCTCGCCCGCGCCGTCGCCGACATTGTCGCGAGTCCGCGCATGACGCGCATGGGGTGGCGGCTCGTCGCCTACTCGTTTGGGACCACGTTATTGGCTGTCGCGCAGGCCATGGCGTGGGGCTTCTTGTTTGCCGACAAGTACGACGGCGCCGAGTACAAGTTCAAGTATTCGTCGTTCTCGATCAAGTGCCCCAACACGAATGGCTTGACCCTTGGCGCACACAAGAACGGAACTTTGTACTGCGCCAACATGACGGCCAAGCAGCTCAAAGCCAACGGCTTCCCGCTCTACGACGACACCAAGCAGCTCGTGCTCGCACCGGATATTCGCAAGCTCATCTACTACGAGTCGACGACCAAGGAGATTTTGCATGGTTTGCTGCTTCTGACGCCGGGCAACTTTGTCGGCGCCTGGTACCGCAACGAGGTCATGAGCATCGTGGTCTTTGCCATGGTGTTTGGGCTCGCCGTTGGTCTCGCGCAAGTCAAGCCACTGCTCCAGCTCCTCGAAGGCCTCGAGACGATCCTCAACACGATGATGTCGGCGGTCGTCAAGATCGCACCAATCGCACTCATCTCGCTCATTGCTGGGCCCGTCTATGCTGGCACCCACGTGCTCACGCTGGACCAAGATCTCGGCCGCATCCTTTGGTACCTCCTCACCTTCCTCTGTGCGACGCTCGTCCACGCCTGCGTCGTGCTCCCGCTCTTGTTTCTGCTTCGAACCAAGCAGTCGCCGTGGCGCTTCTTGGTGGTGCTGAAAGAAGGCTTGCTGCATGCCCTCGGCAGCTCGGCCTCGCGCAAGTCGCTTCCGGTCGTCGCGCGCTGCTTTGAACGCGCATCCGGTGTCCACGCCAACGCCCGGACGCGCTTCGCCTTGGCCACCGGTATGGTCTTTACCAAGAACGGCGGTGCGCTCTACATTACGCTCTCACTCTTCTGGGTGCTCCACAACTCGGGCATGATGCGATACATCTCCGACACCAAGATGGGCCTCGTTGCCTTCTCGTCCGTGATTGGCGCCTATGCAATTGCACCTGTCCGCACGGGCGGTGTCGCCGTCGTGCTGTCGCTGTTTACCATGATCACGGGCCTCTCGATTCCGTACGCGATGCACTTTCTGCTCGTCGCCGAGTGTTTTTTGGATCCGATCGCAACGGTTGTGAATACGTGGAGCAACGCGGTGATTGCTCGCATCGTGCTGCACGAAGAGAAGAGCCGCCCCCGGACACATGTCGTTGCGGCAACGGACGTGTAGTTGTTAATTTATTGTCCATTTTGGTTTTGGTTCTGGTTCCGTTGGACCTTGTTGGCTGAAGCCTTGATGATGTTGTGGCTCTCGTCCATGCACCGTTGGATGAAACACCCTCTTCGTTTACAGTTGTGCAGTATGCCACCGCGAGTCGCGTCATTGATGGTGCAACTAGAACGGAACACAGACTAGGGCCCACCATAGTCCAGCTCGTGTGGGAACACGACCGGCCTTTTTATGCACGTCGTCCTCGCTAGGGGTTATCCGGTACCTGGACCACGACCGTGCAACGCATACGCCAGCCGGCAGTGACGACACCTGTACGTCGATGCTGACGCCGCCTGCAAGAGGCACTGCGTCCTGCGGGAGTAGCTTTCGCGAGGTTGGCGCGTGGGCCGTAATCCTGAACGCACACAGGTGATCGTTTTTCCAAAATCGCACGGGCGCTTGTGCTACCGAGCGGCTAGCATACGATCGTAGTCCATGGCTATCATTTCTCAGAGACGAGCGCCGACGCGGTGCTTGTGGCCGCGCCGTCTCTGGTGTCGTACTGGTACACACACGCCTGCGCTACAACGCCACAAACAACTACAGAAGAGCGACGACACTATGTACTAGTACCGGTTTACCCTTGGGCAAGTGAGCTCACAGTGTGTAATTGACGCATACTGCGTATTGAAGAGTTGATGATGGAAAACGAATCACAAGCACCGTCGAGCGCGTGTCTCGAGCTCGCATCTCGCCGGGTGCCGACGGACTAAGACGCACACGTCGTGGGACACGGAGGCGTTGCCGAGCCCCCACGAGGCACACTGTCATCTACCACCACGCTGTCATTGGCGGTCAAGAACGTAGTGGGAAATGGGACAGACAAGTGCAAACTCCTAAGATCACTTCAACAACCGAAACTGCAATTTGGAGGCCGTCCATTCTGTACCCGGCGCGTCGTAGCATGGGACAGTCGACGGCGGAAAAGGCGTGGTGCAGAATGACGGGGATTGTGTTGGCGGCGTCCATGCCTTATCCAGTGTAACAGGTGTGCTGGGACACCGAGGCGCTCGCTCTCCTCGGCCACTTGTCGGCTCCAGCTGGCAGTTCGATACCACCGAAACCCTCAAGGCTCACTCTTGGTTTTGCAACGTGTAGCATGTTTCCCATGCTTTCAAAAGACGATGCGTACTTGGAGGGCGACTATGACATTGTGGCCGCTGCGAATGGCGCGACGCCGAGCCGGGGCAGCCAAAAATCGTCGTCTGCTGGCATTTCTGTGCTGACGAGCGAGCCAACGACCGCGCACCGGCCAGTGATGTACCCGACGGTCATTCCGGAGGACCAGCGGTCGGGCGCTGGCGACGACGACGAGGGCCGTCGGTCCTGGACCCACCACTACGTCGGCGCTCCCGGAACGCTTCTCGGCGCGGTCCTTGGCCTCGTGCTCGGCTCCGTGCTCGCGATGGAGTCGGTCAAGTCGGAGCTCAAGCAATTCGAGTACACGGAGAAGCTCATCGTGCGCTGGGGCGCGCTCTACTTTCGCGCCGTGAGCTGTCTTCTCGTGCCGACCGTCTTCGTGAGTCTGGCGCGCGCGGTGGCCGACATTGTGTTCAACCCGCGGCTCACACGCATGGGGTGGCGCATCGTTGCGTACTCGCTGCTCACGACGATCCTCGCGGTGGCCCAAGCCATGGCGTGGGGCTATCTCTTCGCCGACAAGTACGACGGCGCAACGTACATGTTCAAGTACTCTGGCTACTCGATCACGTGCCCGCACAACAAGACCGAGTTTCTACGCATGGCACCTAACGGCACGCTCAACTGCGGACCGCTGCCGTCGCGCCAGATCCGCACCATGGTCTTTCCGCTCTACGACACTACCAAGCAGCTCGTGCTCGCGCCGGATATTCGCAAGCTCATCTACTACGAGTCGACGACCAAGGAGATTTTACATGGTTTGCTGCTTCTGACACCGGGCAACGTCGTTGGCGCGTGGTACCGCAACGAGGTCATGAGCATCGTGGTTTTTGCCATGGTGTTTGGGCTCGCCGTTGGTCTCGCGCAAGTCAAGCCATTGCTCAAGCTCCTCATCGGCCTCGAGACGATCTTCAACACGATGATGGCGACGGTCGTCAAGACCGCGCCCATCGCACTCATCTCGCTCATTGCCGGCCCCGTGTACGCTGGCACGCACGTGCTCACGCTCGAGAAGGACCTTGGCCGCATCCTCTACTACGTACTGACATTTTTTTGCGCGACGCTCGTCCACGCCTGCGTCGTCCTGCCACTTTTGTTTCTGCTTCGGACCAAGCAGTCGCCGTGGCGCTTCTTGGTGGTGCTGAAAGAAGGCTTGCTGCATGCCCTCGGCAGCTCGGCGTCCATGAACTCGCTACCGGTCGTCTCGCGCTGCTTTGAACGCGCATCCGGTGTCCACGCCAACGCCCGCACGCGCTTCGCCTTGGCCACCGGCATGGTCTTTACGAAAAACGGCGGCGCGCTCTACATTACGCTCTCGCTTCTCTGGGTGCTCCACAACTCGGGCATGATGCGGTACATCTCCGACACCAAGATGGGCCTCGTCGCCTTCTCGTCCGTGATTGGCGCCTATGCGATCGCACCCGTCCGGACAGGCGGTGTCGCCGTCGTGCTGTCGCTGTTTACCATGATCACGGGCCTCTCGATTCCGTACGCGATGCACTTTCTGCTCGTCGCCGAGTGTTTTTTGGATCCGATTGCAACGGTTGTGAATACGTGGAGCAACGCGGTGATTGCTCGCATCGTGTTGCACGAAGAGAAGCTGTTGAAGCCGCGGTCGCACGCGTAGAAGGCGGGTCACACGCCTTCTTCAACTTGATTGGGTCTCGAATGCGAGTATTTAATGCGTCGACGCGATCATGTACAATAATGTCGACTACTCTGTCTACTTGTGTTGTCTTGATCTCTTGAAACAACGAGGACGACTTGAGTCAACGAGACGAGGTCGACACGGATAGTTCTTTTGGATATTTCGACAGTTGGATTTTAGGATATTTGGATACTTGGATATGATGGATAAGTAGACACAAGTGGAAAGGCGAGTGCCCGAATCTCTGCGTCGAGGAGGAGCGCAGAGCAATGAAAAGGCTCGTTAGATAAGTAAAATGCCCTGCTCAACGTAATGCGTTGCAATTCGCTGGATATGGACCATGCGAAGGGCAGATCGAGCAGGCAGATGCAGAGGAGTGTGTCTACCATATCTAATTGCAAACGATTTACTATCACTGCAAACGACCAAGTCTCTCGTCCATATCTCAAGCGGCCGACATGAAGCTACTTTTGAGTTTGCGTTGCACTGTCTCGTCGGACAACTAATACCAGCGCTGTAGTAGTTTTAACACAGAGACAGGCGTCCCAGATAGATAGAGGTGTTTTGCTCGAAAACAGACACTAGGGCGTACACTCACTTGGCGTCGTCGACGGCACAAGCGTCAGTGCGACGGCGTCGCAGTTGGTGACGACGACCGGATACCGGACGGCGGGCGCGACCTCGTCGTAGCTCAAGCCGACGTCGACGCCGTTCTTTTCAAACCAGATGCGCGATGCGT